TACGTACTCAAATGTGAAAACCACGCTTATCTAGGGGCTGAATCTAAAAAGTTAAAGTTTTGTATGCACAGGGAACATTCAGCTTTCCAGCTTTTCTGGATTCCGAGTCAGCAACTTTTCCGCCAAAATTTTCACGTACCTCTGCGTAAGAATCAAGCATGTTTAATTAATAATTGGATAGGGAGCATTCTCTCAAAATTTCAGCTTTCCAGCTTTTCTAATTCCCGGAATAACGATTTTTTCGCCAAAACATCCACGTGCTCGTTACTCGGAGCTTGGACGTGCCTGAAAGTTCGTACCGCAGCCCTGGTACGGTGCTCGGCCAGGGAACCGACCGGCAAAATTTCTGTGTCGAAGCGCGCTTGGCTGCCGAGTTGAAATCAGAACATACACACGCACACACATGCGCGCACACACACGCACACACACATACACAAACACATACATACACGAACACATGCACACCTATACATACACGCACACACACACGCGCACACACATATACACACAAATATACACGCACACCACGACTCGTCACAACATGCGTTTTTGCATTTGCATATATGCAAAAAAAGCCTAATAATGACTGTAATAACAGTAATGAAAATGATCAAAATAATAATAAATTTAGAAAACTAATAATTAAAATAGTGATTATAATCGGCTGAAATTTGTGAAAAGGCTATAACGAATATTGGATTTATTAAAATTAAAGTAGCGGTACCGGCAAGAAAGCCTGTTCCTGGATAACACTTTCCACCGACATGCGGATCTCATTTTGCAGGCGAAGCTGCTCCAGATCGGCAACCAGCGGATAACCGTTCTCAATTTCATGTGATGCTCCTTCGATATTCCGCTCCGGCGACAGATTCTGAAATTATCGCTCATAAAATGAGTTATGGATTATATAAGGTCCTCAAAACTGCCTCCTCCTTCCCTGAAGCGCCTGTGGATGCACCACATGGCTGTGCCGAAGAACAGCCTATGAAGATATGCTATCCAGATGAAGTATTTTGTGGCCTAGCTATCCTCCAATGTATGGAATTCTACCCCAAGAATACCAGAAATGCAATAAAAAAAATCGATGCTTATGCCCAAAATAATTTTACCGAAAAAAGAAAATGAGAGATGAAATATCAAAAAATACAAAAAATGTTTCGTTAACAGCTTTTTTTACCGCTCGTTTAATTCTCTGTCAAAACATCAGCGTCTAATAAAGATTTCGAATAAAACTGCAAGAAATTTAATGGCATTTTTTGTTAGAAACAGACCGACTGATCGATCGAAAGATTTACTGATCGATCAGAAGACTGAGTGATAAACAGAGAGACTGAACGATTGATTCGCTGATTCGATCAGAAAATTCGAAGGCAAACACATGAAAAGGGTTATTTGGAATCGAATCTTCAAGATATCTGACACTTACATCTCTG